TACACTGACTACTTTACATTGTATCAAAGTCTCTTCTTCACTGTTGTCCCATCAAAAGATATAATGAAATATTAGCAGAAATTTGAGGGGTGTACTCACTTTTGTGAGATACTGTAGATGTACAGGTGTGTAACCTACCTGGTGCTTTGGCAGCAGCAGCCAGTGGACTTCCAGGTACAGAGGCAGTGGGGGGGGGGACCAGGCTGATACTGGACAGTGGGACAGTCTGGTTAGCTGGTGTCATGGCGACGGGGGTGGGGCTTTTGGGGGAGCTGGCCCCAGGTGTGGCGATGGGGGTGGAGCAAGGGGCAGCTGAGGCGGCCGCAGGTGTGGCGGGAATGTCGTACTTCTGCAGCTGCAGCAGGTAGGTGTCGGCGGTCTGTGACGGCCCCCAGCTCACCTCCAGAGACGATGTGTTGGCCCGAACCAGCTGCACCCGAGAGGGGGCACAGGGACGCTCTGAGGACAGACAGGTGAGACAGGGTCAGACAAGCGTAACAACTGTGGTCAACATGAGAGGTCCTCACCTGTCTCTGGGTGTTATTAAACAGTTGTCCTCACCTGTCTCCAGGTACCAGAGGTCCTTGCAGCACACCTGGTTGTTCCAGGCCTTCCTGTATCCATCCCTGCCACTCCAGATGTAGAGTCTGGAGTTGATGGCGACGCTGCAGTGACCTGCTCGCGCTCTGGGGACGTTCTCCTCCACACTGTCCATCAGGACTGTCTCCCAGCACATTGTGTCTGCACACACAGGTGGACAGACAGGTAAATAGACAGGTAGACATCTTCCTACTTTATGAACAGTGAGTCTCAGTGTGAATGAAGCTCAGCTCAAACTCAGGTGGAGGCCACAGGTGTGTAAGACAGGTGTGTAATACCCAGGTTGAGGCAGGCCAGTGTGTTGGTACACTTCCACTCCTTCTCATGAGTTGCCACTTTGACATCATCCATCACCAGAGGAACCCACCCCCCAAACACATACATCCTGACAGAGAGACAGGCACAGAGAGACAGACAGGTGAGAGATCCAGTATCAGTGTCACATTAACAGCATGTATCTGCAGTATCTGTGTGGAGTATTACTTGTTGTTGATGGTAGTAGCAGAGTGGAGGCTGCGAGGAAGGGGGGCGGTTCCACTGAGAGCCGGTTTACTCCACATCAGAGAGTCTGTCAGGTCATCAGAAGAAGAACCAATCAGAAGTCAGTTCAGTATCATGTGTGATGAAGAGAGTCACGCATCGACCCTTGTGTCTCACCTATGTCCAGCACCCACAGGTCTCCCAGTCTGCAGCCACTCATCCCTCCGTAGATGATGAGTCTGTTTCCTCCACGGCCGCTCGCCACCACCGCAGTGTGGCTTTCCCTAGGCGGCGGTGGCTGACCCGACGTCAGCGGGATCTCCCAGCCAACCACGCTGGAGCCCGGACGCAGCTCCAGACAGTACAGGTCGTTCAGATACCTGACAGGGACAGGAGACATTAAGAGACATTAGAGACCGGATACTCTGGAGGTCTATAATCCTGCTTTAGATCGAGGACAGTCTGGTGTTTCCTACCTGGGGATGTTGTTCTTGGGGTCTTCGCTGTCATTGGCCAGCCCTCCGAACAGGTAGCAGGAACTACCAATCAGAGAGAAGCTGTGTCCAAGGCGGGGGCAGGGGGGCGGGCCGTTCTTTGGAGCCTTGGCCTTCAGACGTTTCCACTCCCAACGACTCGCCTGAAGAGACCAAACACACAGTCAACCTCTGCAGCTGTGGCAGTGGCCCCCAGCCGTGTCAGTGGCCCCCCAGCTGTGTCAGTGCCCCCCCAGCTGTGTCAGTGGCCCCCCAGCT